CCCAACCCAGTCCAATCGTTTGCCACAGGATTTAGATATAAATGCCGAGGGAGACTACCGACTAGGGTGACCATTTGTGCGCACCTGAGTCTCCAACTCACACTCTTTTGGCTATTAGTCCAGAGCTCAGACTGTCGAGCCGTGGGCTTGTATCCCATCGGTCGCCAAATCCCTTGTCACTGTGAGTGAATGCGATCACACGGCATGGAGGGATTTTGCGTGCCTTCGAAGTACGATTATAAGAAACATCAAGCTTTCTCACTGAAATCGCTGGTCGGTCCTCGAATGTGAAACCATTGTTCGGCAGCGGCAGAGACCGAAGCCGGCCCCATCCGCGAGGCAATTCAGCGCCGTCCTCGCTGTAATTGATCTGGTGCGCCGTCATCTATCACGAAGCAGCAGAAGTCGTGGCTTAGAAGGTTGCCAACTGGTGGTTTGACTCCGACCGAGCAGTCAGTTCCCCGTGCGTGTGTGAGTGCCGAAGTGATGGGTTGAGTCAAGCCTATGGCTCCTTTACATTGCCTCTATGACACTTTCATGAATGCGAAATCCGAGTCTCCCTTCCGTGGAAACATGGTACATTGTGCGGCTGCTCGGTTGTGTGCGTGCGTATGCGGACTATCTCGCTATCGGAGCCTGGTGGTTGAGGAGTTAGAGTGCGACATATGCTACGCAATCCTGCCTCACTGTAAACTATTTCACTCACAAGTCACTGATGCTCCGCCCCCTTGGTGGGGTATTCAGTGAGTTTCGTCACCCCTGACGGTCTAGCGACCACGTACAGATAAATTTATATGCATACGAAATAGCATTACCGACAAAAACAAGGGGACTGGAATGGCCATTTCTAGGTTCTAAGCCCTCATCATCTAATCATACCCAACCACTGAGGCTCAATCCTGTGACCTCTGGCTAGAAGTCCAATGCCCTAACCACTGATCCAAGTGCCCGTTGTCCTGTGTGCTCCTAATAAGCCAGAAGTGGCCTTTCCAATCTCCCTTGTCTTTGTCAGTAATCCCATTCTGTCTATATTACGCACCTCCGTGCAGCTGCCGGTTGGGCTCAAGAGAGCCCTAAGGTACTACGAAACGAGTGAGTCCCGTAACACGATCGGTGAGCGCCTCTCAACCATTATATATATATATATATATATATATATATATATA